CCCCAAAACCCCAAAACCCCAAAACCCCATCATGCCATCATCATATAACCAAACTAATATATTAATAAAGATTTGAATATTTTGGGATGATACTCATTGTTTCTAATCAAAATTAGCCTGAATATAGCTTCTGTTTGAAGACTGTGTATATCTATCAGATTGTTTTAAATCCAAAACATCTTCATCAATTTGCCTCAAAGCAACTATGCTAAATTAAGCAGTCGAATCAGGGTATACGTTCTCCTTCATACTTTTCATATTTTAGATCTAAGACTTTGTTGAGCTACTATTTTTGCAAGTATTATAGTACAGCTTATCTTTGAGAAATTTTAGGTTGTTGACAAGTTATTTTACTTGCTATGTTTGCTTATTAGACGATTCATGTTATTCAATTTATTGCAAAATAAGTTAATATTTATTTACTTCGCCTTAGAGATATTCTTTAATGTTTTGAAGCTATGAATCGTCATGAAGTATTTAATCTATAGTCTCAGTATTAAATTAAGTTATTTGTGGTATTTGGTTTCTTAAATCCTACGATACTTGAACATGCTTCTTTGTCTGCTCTCCAGCTAGATAAAGAGAAGGTATATCAGATGATTGAGACTCTTATGAGTTTTACTAAAACTGAATGGAATTATCTGATTTTATACTTGAAAGTATCATAGTGTTATCAGCCATGTCTGATTGTCTTGACAGCTTGCTTTGTAATAATTTTGACAGATTCTTCCTGACCAATAGCAGTTTCTACCTATCGTGACTATTAATCTAATTAAAATCATACTCCTAAGCTGATTGGTATTTATTAAACTCAACATTTTTCTCAAGGAGAGATTAATTTTACTTCTAATAACTTCTATCTATTTATGATTATGACTCTTTTTATTAAAGTTTCAAAGATTTGTTACTTTTCACACATGTAAAAGATCTATTAGTTGATTTATTAGTTGTAGTACTTGATTATGGTTGACATTGCTAATAAGTCCTTATTGGAGTCTAAGCTATAGATCTGTTAATACATGATAAGGGATGCTATATAGCTTATTTGATGTTCGTTTAAATATCTTTATACTTTTGGTTACTTCTATTATTACACTTTTACGAGCTTTAAGGAGTTTGAAAACTCTTTCTCACTTTAGATATTGAATTTTATATGGGCTGCTCCAAGACTAGATTTTAGCTCTGATTTTATTCTAGCTGTTATTATTAGAATTCTAGCATCTAGCATTGTATTCGTTTGATCATAGAATCACTAATCAGATTGAATGATAACTCTAGCTTGGTCAATTTAAGCTGATCTTATTTATTCCTTAATTTGATTTCCTAGAGTAGATTTACAAGAGCTGACCCAGTCTTAAAACCAAGTCCATTCTAAGCAAGGTTTAATTCCTTAATCTGAGTGGAGTAAACAGTGGCTTCAATTAATTACACAGCATTTTAGTCGCCTATTCTACAGTTTTATAAATTTAGAGATACCAAAGGTAGGTTTTAACCCCATTAACAGATAATTTTTATAAGACATTCATAAGATTTCTTTGAAAAATTTGTCTAAGACACATTAAGCTATTATATTCCAAAAATTGGTAAATTCTCAACAAATTTCGCAATTATATTATCAGAGACTCCAGTTTTTTCCAGACTATATTTTTATAGTGAAAACCAATATGTTTACCTGATTGATTTTAAGATAGGGCTAAATGAAATATTACGGCATCCATGCTATATCAGAGCGCTTGTTTTTTACTCCAAGTATTCTATTAGACTTTTGAGTGAATGATCTTTGAAGAATAAATTGTAAGACAAATTCAATGAACCAATCCTGCAATTGCACATGATCAATGTTTGTAAAAGAGTATCAAAGTTTCTCTCATTTATACTTCTACCACTCAAGTTTATATCTAAGTCATCTATATTTATTAAAAATGGGCTGATCATTACCAAATTATTCAGATTTTACGTTAATGTAAAAAGCATCAACTACTGATTTGAGAGGGTGCTCTCCATAGTTTTCACACAGTTCATTATATATTGCCAGAAATTTAACATTTTCAGATCTTTGATCTTTGCAAAATTAGCATTTGCATATCCCATCATCCTTTTATGGTTGGTAAAATGTTCCCTTGATTTTTTGCAAAAGTTCAAAGCTATTATGGTCTTCAGCTTATCTCTATTATAGCGGTAAGGAGTGTCTCTTTTTAGAGGTGCTCATTAATCTTGACATTTATATGTTAAGCTAATTTAAAAGATAGTCGTTTAATTATTAATTTAATAAAATTTACAGTAAATGAAGGTTTTATTACTAACTTATCTCTAATAAATACTATTTTCATTTTTATGGGAATGATAAATATTGTTAATGATATTCATATCAGACATCTTCATTAAATGACAATCTATCGGATTCATATGTGCCACTAGCACCTCTATGTGTTCTCGACTAATAGTCTTTGAGGACTTTATAGACTGGCTTTCTTTTGAAGTTCTTATCATATTCTTTGCCAAGCTTAGCCACTCGCTGCAAATACTCGCTCAAAACTCTTTGCTTCTCAGTTTACTCATTAACTGACTTTCCGTCTATAAAACTCTATCCCAAACTAGATTTCTAAAGAACTTTCCCTGCTACATTGTTAATCTACTGCTGAATAAATTTATTTTTCATTAGGATTTTCATCTTCTACGGTCTTTAGTATTCATGAGACTGATAAATTTTCTATCCAATTGAGGAAGCCATAGTATCTTGATTATATCTGTTATTTTCTGTTTGCATATTCGATTCTTAATTTCTACTACTAGATTGAGCTCTGACTATTAAAGATTTAGCATTCAGATAAGCTGATATTGGTCTTTTCCTCTTCTATTGTGGAAAGCTGTCTGCTTGATACGAATTTCTATGAGTCCCATGAGCTACTCTATAGGTCTCTCTTGCACTTTGTAACTATTGCCGCTCAGTTAGATTAATTGGATATTCATAGACTATTGGCTTTGGATTTCCATCATCTTGATCTACTACATTGATATTGCCATTATAATGAGTTATCTATGATTGAAAAGTAACTAGATACTATTGATATGCTTGAATGTTTTCATGATCTTGATATTTTACCAAATATTGCTGATTGTTGGGTGAAAGTTGAATGTCTGACTTGATGATGCTGCTTTCAAATGTCTAAGCTTAGTGAATTGAAATTATATCTCTAATGGGGCTAATAGTACCACTTAGCTGATTATCAGTGTTTAAAGGGTTCAAATGATTTCTACTTTGAATGGGACTATGCTAATTAGCAGAGGAATTTCTTGCAGCTATTGATAACTCTTTGGTCTGATACTAACTGTATTTCTCTGAACCCTATATCTGATTTGGAGATTTCTATTCTAATTGACACAACTAGTTATGTCTTTATTATTAGTTATTGAGAGGAATCAATTTTTGCTAAGATAGTAGCAATTTGACACTTTTAGATTTCTCAAGAGTTTTTTATTGCATTGCAGTGTACTCTGACTCGAACTAGTTTGGACTATGCTTATGATTATGTTTCTTATTTTAATGGTACTTTATTTAACTGTTAGGGATATTTCTTCCTTTGGCGAAATAGTTTGATACTATGTTGATTTGATTACTATTGCCACTAACTAGCTTGACAACTGTTGCTTTGGGACTGAAAACTGTTTGCTGCTATAATGATTAGAAGTTATTAGTATTTGTTCCTATATCTTCATAATTACTTTAAACATTATAATCATTGGTCTAAACTCCTTGCTCACTAATAGTATTACTAGTAAATTATGCTTAATTTTAAGTATTGGCAATATCTTTTGCTGCTTTAAGTTTTAGTTAGTTTGCATCATCTACTCTGATATTCTATGGTTTTCCATTTATAATCAAGGAGTTCATTATGCTGTTTCTTCTCTAATGCGAAGGACTTATGATCTGGTTTATTACCGCCAAGTCTGGATCATTTTCATCATATTAGCCATAATTCTAGATTTCTTTGAATTTGAACATCAATTTGGATTTTTTTCTCTTAGGCATCTAAGTTTTTACTATATCACCCAAGATTTCTGCCATTCTTGGTTTTCTCGATTTGGATCTATTAGGCTTATTTACTTCTCTAATAATATCACGCATTTCCTGAGTTGAGGCACTTTTAGATAATGCATTTAAATCTCTCTTCATTATTTTCTTTAAATCCCCAATCGAAAAAGATACTCCTAGCTTCTCTGATCTTTCTTTAATTTTAGTGTTGGAATTGCTCTGAGTTACTTCTTGAGCATGAGTTTCATATAAATTCTTATGCAGTTTAGAAAAATTAACCTCCATTTTAGGCTTGGTATTTAACTAGGACAATCCAAAAGGGAATATTGGCTAGTTATCAGTTGCAGTACTTCTGTATTTAGCTTGGTTTTACTTGACATGATCAACTGATCTATCTTTTAGAGAATTTTTAATAGGGTTGATGGAAGTACTAGGTCTACCAGTCCTTGGTCTAACAAACCTTATCGTAACCTTCGATTCAGAAGCTCTTGCTCTGTAATGAGATGATGGTCTAGTCAAGGTAAAACTTCTTGCAGATTAAGCTCTGAGTAGTGTATCTCGAGCCTAATCATCGAGATCATCTTTAGCAACAGCAGGGCAGATACTACCGTAGAGTTCTTACTGAATTTCTTTTGATAGAGGCAGGTTTTAGTTTTTGATATTCATTTTATTTCAATTATATTGCCAAACCACATTAATTTCATGCATGGGGTTTTGGGGTTTTGGGGTTTTGGGG